AGCCAACAATTTGTTGCTGCCGTCATTTTATAGCCAATATGGCAGTCCTCTGTGTAACGCTTCTCCGAATTGGCCTGATTCCAGGCGAAGGGTGACTCGCCAAATTTATTCGGAGTCCTCACAACCTATTCAAATAGATTATCTAGTTGGTCCTATGATCCTTTTGGTCTTTTGAATTATGATGGATAGTCCTCTGAGTCCTGGGCCCTATGACCGACGCCACAGGAGAGAGCCGTGCCCTAACGGTCAGTAAACATACCCATGAAACAGATTATGAAGCATTGACATAATTCGCGAAACTCTGCAACAAATCTTGATGCAGAGCGAAGTGATGCATTGGCGGACAGAATAATCAGCTTTTTTTAGATAGAGACAGTACTTTGAAACCATTTTTTTGACGCCATTCAATTTGGAGATCTGCTTTAAGTAACGTGAGGCTATAGCATTACAAATTGTGGGCTCTAGTTCCCATAAGTGACTCTTGTCGACCTTCACTGAGCAGTACTCAGAATTGTTACTTGTCACGTGGCAAACTGATAACTTTACTAACCTATCGTAATTGACTGTGTTAAAGGAGTGACTTAAGGCGCGTGGGCGTGATGTTACTCTAGACCTTGGTGACATCAGACATTCAACCCCGCATTTTTATGCACTGTATGGATTCTGACTTTTAAATTACTTATTCAATGTTGGTTTCTACGTCAGCGTATGACAAAAGCGGATGTTTCAAAGGGACACTATCCTCTTGCTCTTTGTGTTTTAAGCTACTTCGTGTAAATAGTGTTGCAATACATCATTGCAACACGCTAGACTAGACAGGGTAAGAGCACAAATCCTGCAAGTTGGTGTGCAGACCTGTAACACTTCCGAAAGGCTCCCTTGGTCAAGGCAAGTGTGGCAAATACCGACTCTCATCTCAAGAGCTAATTCTAATTCACAGGACGCATGCATAGAATGGGAGCTCAATATTATTAAACTCCTGGCAATTGGGTTTTGAACTTCGTGTACACACGTTTTCCGCATTTTAACAGTTCACTTTTCTCAAGACCACGTGATAAAGACAAGGTGGTAGTGCTCGTGATATGTCATAACGAACTCATAACCTAAGTGTTTGTGCACACTTGTGTACTGCGCAACGCTTGTTGAAGTAGATTTTGCGCCAATTTCCCCTGTTAGCATTCCATACTTAAGTATCCCACTACATCCTTGCTCCATGTCTTTGAATAGAACGGAACAAAGAACTGATGGATATGTGCAGCAGTTCTAACAAGCAGTTACCAATTTTGTAAGCTTTTAAATCATCAAACGGCACACCCGTTTCCACACAGCCATAACTGTGAGTCAGAAGATTTGGGACAATGAACATGCAATTCACTAGGCGACTATTCAACAACGCACAAGGTTTGAACGGTGTTTGTTGTCGTGATTGCGTATGTAACGCCTCGTTTTCCATCCTGAGCTTTAAAATTTAGTGCATGTTCTTTACCGACTTGTGATGGACGAATGCACAAAATTATCAAGTAAACAATTCACTTGTACGGTATGCGATGCTCGTGGTCTTAGCGACAATTGAATTGGTCGACTTGTTGGTGGACATGTTGACATCAGGTAGGAACGAGAAAAGGGCTAGACCGTGGCGGTCGTTTTTTTCCCCCTCGGACTTCGGTAACGAGCTGGTTAAGTTTAACCGATCTGTTTGTGGGAACTTTTCTACAAGTGCACCACGAATTAGTTTGATGACAGTTTAAACTGTCAAACACTGCTACTTAAGAGATTATGCACATGGAATCTGTTTCCGGTCTTGAGATGGACGTCGCGAGAAGCCAGAGAATGAGAAACACGATTCAACATCCTGTTTGAGAGAATAGATTGTGAAGCCGTTATAGGTTTTTAGGGAAGGTAGAAAGAGGCGACGCGGGACCCTCTTTTAATTCTTTAAAACCAGGAAACACAGCCTTCCCTTCAACTGCAAAGAAACCAAATCGAATTTCAAGTGATAGTTCCTGCTTTTAAGAATCATATAATTCTGCTT